AGCGCAAGGAGAAGCCGGGGGAGCGGGCGGCCGTGGAGCATTCCGCTGCCGGAGAGCAGAGCCCAGAGGAGCTGGTGGGGGGTGAGAGGCAGGAACGGAGGCGCTCCACTGAGGAAGGAGTGGAAGCAGGAAGGCGGAGGCAAACTACGAGAAGAAACAAAGTATTAAAGAAAAGGGGAAGAGGAGATAAAGTGATTGCTCCGATAAAGAAGAACGAGAAGGAGAGGGAATACGGAAGGACTCCACTGATGAGAGAGAGGAGTTGAAAGACCCCCCCACGAGAGACAGCAAACAGAGACTGGCTCTAAAACTCTCCCTCTCTTTGTCACACCACAAGGATTTGATGCCCCTCAGCCTGTTCACTTCTGTGTGTTCATGTTTCCCACAGGTTTCTCTTCCCCCAACCCCCCAGCTGCAGCCCAGGAGGTCAGACCTGCCACTGATGGTAACACCAGCAGCAGCTCCTCCTGCAAGAAGAGAAAGTTAAATAACAGCAGCAACAGCAATTCCGAAAAAGAAGAATTTGATTCCATTTCCTCCTGCACCTCTTCTCCTTCCAAAAACACCTCCTCGTCATCCTCCTCCGTCATCACCACCTCCTCGTGCTCCTCCTCAGGGGTTGCTTCCTCCAACCATCACCTCCAGAAGAAGCTGCGCTTTGAGGACTCCGTGGATTTTATTGGACTCGATGTGAAGATGGCTGAAGAGTCTTCTTCCTCCTCCTCTCCTGCTGCCTCTTCCCAGCAGCAGCACCAACAGCAGCTCAAAAATAAAAGCCTTTTAATTTCATCAGTGGCTGTGGGGCACCATGCAAATGGCCTGACCAAAGCTGCCTCCTCTACTGTTTCCAGTTTCGCCAACAGTAAACCTGGCTCTGCTAAGAAATTAGTGATCAAGAACTTTAAAGGTAACAGGCCATAATTTGTCACAACTTAGGGGGAGCTGACACTCGACTTCATGTTTTGTTTTCAACCTGAAAACCGGTTCCTTTCAAATAGCTCCAGGTTTTACGGGAAAGGCTTTTCTGTGGTGAACGTTTCTATACTTATGTAAAGGAGAATAATGTTTTCTGATGCCTGCTTGCCCAGTCATGTACACATCCTGAGCTACACTTTGCTGCTTGGAATTATTTTTCAGGCTCCTTTCACTCTTGTCAGTAGAGAAGGCCTTAACTTGTATGTTAGATGAAAGGTTTTACTACCTAAGTGTGTAAATTGCCTTTGTTCAAACTTCTAACGTTTGATACCTCTTTGCTAGTAATCCTGATTCAGGGCTTAGTGTTTATTTTAACCTAGTTTATGATAAGTCTTTGCACAGACGTGTTTTTTTTTTAATTGGCCTTGAATCTACATGTCTTGCCTCTGTGAGTGTTGTCTGTTTATAGGTTAATCTGCCTGTGCTTAGTTTTAAATGTTGAAACTAAGGTGATTATCAGGCTCTTATGGCGGATTTCCTTTCTGGTTTTCCCAGTTACCTTTAAAGTAGGTAGTTCAGATTTTTACTGAGTGTTTTCCTTGTAATATCCTCACTGTAACTTATAATAGTAGTTTCTTTTCTCTGTCTTAACTCTTATTTTACAAGTTTATTCTATAAATTCTCTCACAAGACGTGTTTGAGATTCTCTGGTATTGTTACTAGAGACCAGCTGAAGCAGAGAAGTGAAACTTTTCTGCTATGATGCAGCTTCGTTGTCTAGTAAACAAAAATACAAATAGGTGTAGGCAGAAAGCTAAAATGCTGTCGTTTTTTCCCTATAAAGATGAGGAAATCATGGACTTTTCTTACTTCCTGCCTCTTGCTGCCTTCCAGAACAGTCCAATAGCTTGCTTTCTTGAGTTGTTTCTTCTTCCTCGTGTGTTTGGGGTTGGGGAGGGGTAAAAGATATTACCGACATTATAGCTGATTTCTAAATACACAGTTGGCACAAATGTTCAGTAGAGGTACTGCATTAGGTAAGGATTAGGATTATTTTACCCACTGTAATGTTTTACAGCAATTCACGATCCCAGTGAAACTTTGAGGTTCCAGTTCTCAGAAATGTTCTCCGCCCATCAAAGCAGCATCATTTAATTTGATTATTTTAAAAACATAGACTTTTAAATATAGACTTATGATGCAACATAGTGAGAAAGAAAGCCACTCTTTGGTTGTTTGTACACCCGTATCTTTAGAAGAAGTTAACTTTTCCCATGTAAATTACCTGTTAAATGTCACGGATTGCACGGTGCTGTGATCATCATTGCTTATAAATTGGTATTTGAATCACTTGCTTAGAAAGGACATCTCAGTAATGGGACAGCTTTGCTTTTTATTTACTCTCAGATACTAAACTGAATAATAATCTTAAGATTATTTTCTTTATCTTAGTGTGATAGCAGTAGCATCCTTTACAACTTAAATAACTTCCTAAAATCCATATCCCTGGTGTTTACTGCTCAGCAGTGTACTCAGGAGTTGCTAGTGAAAACAGGCAAGTCTGTAGTCACTTGTCTCTCCTGGTCCTTACAATGCAGCTAATGTTGGGATATTGCCAATATTGTAGGGAAATGCTTGGGAGAGAACAAAAAAAATTACTTCTCTCTGTTACTTATTTCTCAGGAAATCATAAAGCTTTAAAATTTGTGTTTTACCTTTAGGTATGTAAAAGTCAACTATAATAGAGTATAAACTCTGGGCCAGTTTCACCTGTTGATGGCATGGATGTACATGTGTCATCTTTCTCCCTAAATTTTCTTCTCCTTCCTTTTTCCATTTGGGAATGTGCATATTAGAACAAACATGGTCATTTTAGTTAGTTATGAGAACACACAGAATTTTGAAATAGTTCTCATATTCTGAGGATGTGACCTGGGGAATATCTGAGCCTGTTGCAAATGCTCTGGTCTTGCTGAAGGTACTGCAGGGCAGGGGCATCTCTAGAGAAGAGGCAGAAAAAATAACAGAGAGGGGTCAGATCTGTGAAGCTTGAGCTGTTTGAACATTAAAGGAGGCTTAACTCTAACAAATATCCACTGGCCAAACCCAAGAGAGACATAAATGGATTACTTTAAAATTGGAATGTTTTCCTTGGGACCATAAAGCCTGTATTATAATGACAGTGTTTCCATGCATGTTTCTTGAGGATTTCTTTCCAACCTCTAATACAGAGTAGAATTAACGACCAATAAATTAAAAAATAAGATACACACAACTCTGTATCTTTTAATCCACCATTTTCACCTTTTATATTCACTTTGTTTTTGGCTCTG